TGTGTCTCAGAAGAGAAACTGTTGTGATGTTTTAAATGAGAATGTATTTTAATTCTTAGTCCCCTGTGCTGCACTTTGGATGAGTGTAATTCAACATCCAGCAAGACTTCACACTTGCCGCCGTATTTTCACTCACGCCTTCACGCCTTTTCTGATATAATAGGGATCTAAAGTGGGAGAAACCAGTGGTGACACCTCCTCATCCTCCTCCTCCTTCTCAGTCCAGCTCTGCAGCTCCTCCATCATCCACACCAATAACATCAGGAGTAAATCAATGGGGATTGATGGCAGATGGCAGATGGCTATCGGGCACACATGTGCACACACACACTACCACAAAGAGCTAAAAGAGGTTCTTGTCTCTCTTAATGGACTCGTGCAACCACACCTCCCCCATGTTAATCAACAGTGACTAATAGCCATTGGTCATGGCTGGACCCATGTCTACTGGTTTTAGGAACTTTTGCAGCATTTTTTTTTTTTTTTTTTGTTAACCTACATTTTGCTTTTTCTTGTGAGATGGAAGCGTTTGAGGAGGGAACAAAAAAAATATGAAAAAAAAAAAAACCTGAGGACATGCCTGTGTTGCAGTTTGCAAGAAATTAGGAAAATTACAACCAGCAGAATTGGCCCCAAACTAGAAGTAAATAGACAATCAGACATCACAAAAATGAGTTCTAGTCTGGTTATTCAAATGTTTCTACACGTGTTTCTAATGGGTTGCAATTTACCAAAAACATGTTTCTAGTTGTACCTCAAACGCGGCGATACTTCATTAGCGGCCATGCCAAGTTTTGTGGTAACTAGGGAGCTTGTTAGTGAAAACTTGGCACGCTGTAAACACGTGTTGTGGACGGTCGGTTTAACCCGCAACAACAGGGTTTAGCTGTGTTAAGTTGCCAAAGGATATAATGATTCATGCAGCCATCAGTCCAACCTCCAAGATGATGTGTGTGTGTAGTGTGTGTAAAGCGCTCATTTGTGCCAAATGTCTTCAAATTGGATTTGCTGAGCCAATCCTTGCTGTTGCTACACAAACGCTTGTATATTTTAGGCATACCTGGTTCCCTTTATGCCAACGGAGTCTACGCTGTGCTAAAGGCTGCAGTAGTCGTTACTCTTGAACTCTCCTTGTAACTCCCAACTGAAGCATAAAAATGTGTTTGTGGTACGAAAGTGGAACAAATGCATCAGAATTACTGCCTGATCACAAATATCATTTTGCAAAACATGCTGTAGCTCTGCAGTGTGGAATAGTCTTGGTCTAACATTTTTTTCCCATTAGTAATTATGCTTTAATTCATCAGATGGAGATCAAATGGAGCCAAACGTTCTACTGTAATGCACATAATTCAAAAGTCCATATGGGACAAATCGGTTGTTTTGTTCCAATATGTACATGTTGCTCCATTCTTCCAAGGAATCATGTGCTAACTGTTAATGGGATCCTTTAATTTCTATTTCTTACTACTTTCCTGTTACTACTCTCCTCCTAAGGAATTTATATATGTCTTTTTTATCACAATTAGCAATAGCGTAGAGCGTGTCTTTGGTAGGACAGCTCTATTGATGGCTGGAGAATGGGAGCATGCCAGACAGCTGCGGTAATGCCATTCCAACACTCAAGCCTTGTCACACTGAATGCAACCGTCTGCGGCTTCCTTCCTCGCTGAATCTCCCATTGGGTAGATTCGGGCAGCGAGGAGGCGAGCGCCCGCTAAAATAGGCATCATTGTTCGGTAAACTGACTAATGAAAGACGGGGTGGGGCGGGGTAGAGGGGGGGCGGAGGGGTAGATTGGAGCGGGGGCGGGGATGGGAAGGAGAGGAGATGAGGTCACACATTGTTCTCCCGTTGGTAGTCTTTCCTTGGCCGTCTCGTGGGACGGCTGTTTGCTTGTGTGGAGGGCCCCGGTGCTGCTTTGTTGACTCGCCTGCTTTGAGGTCAGTGAAGCTGGGATGTTGCCAGGACTAGGCGCACACACACACACACACACACACACACACACACACACACACACACACACACACACACACAGAGGGCTTCACAGCTTTCCTCAGTGCAAAAACCCCCGAAGGAAGCAGAGATGGATGTTGCTGGAAGGTAGCAAGCAGCTGGTTTCTTGACCTTCTCTTAAGGATGCAACTGTAGTCTGAGTCAAAGGAAAGGTTCATAGAGGCCTGTGTCATCAATCACTACCCAAGACCTTTCTCGAAAGAACAGTCATATGGTTTTCTTTCTCATATTCCATGAGAACATGTATTTTATGGAGTCAGTAATTTAATTTTCTTGGTCGTCCCCTCAGAAGAACAAGGTCACTTAGTACCTTCAACTATAAGCTACATTTTTTCCCAAGCAAACATTCATTTTATTTTATTTTCTTACTATTATTGGAGGCTTAGTTCTCCGTTGTATGCTTGCCTCCAGACACATTTCACATCTTTGAATGCTCAGACTTTCTTCGCTCATTAAGGCCTAAGGCAACCTCATGTGCAGGTACGTGCACATGTTGCAGAAAGTCTAAATAGATTAAGTTAACAGAGTCAGTCCAGCACGAAGCTAGATTCATGTCATTACTCTACCTGAACAAATTGCATGATTTATACCATTCATGCTTATGGTGTATCTCAAACTCGTGTTTTCAGATACTGTTAATTCACAATTATAGTCCCAGATATCTTAAATTCCTCTCCAGTCAGGACATCTATATTTACCTTTTCAGATAGTTTAAATTAGTCCTTTTTTTTTTTTTTTTTAATCTAGTCAGACTGATCTTGTCCTGCAGATGTCTTAACCTGGAATTATGTTTATCGTCATGTTGTTGGCATGTCAGTGTGATCATACACATTTTGAAATACAGTTTTGCAGATATCTGTAGTTCCGTCAGAAGCTACAGCAAGCGGGAAGCAGAGGCAGCTTGCTGTATAAACACACCACACCACAAGTACATACGATAAGCCGACTACGTCAGAGCAGCTCGACGCCGAAGTTCTGCTAAATTTTGCCCACAAGTTCCCAACGATGGAACTTCTTGTTCTCGACAAATTCCTCACTGATAAGCTCTTCCTGTTTCCCAGCGTTTTCTATTGATCTTATCTGCCACAGGATCTTTTACTTCCACTGTTCAAATTCTTTGCTGGACAAATTATCCAATGGGAAGCCTTGCATGAGCAACGTCACGCACAACAATTCAGACCAGTCATAATAACTTTTAAAATATCCGTGACCGTGATTTCGACGAGTCAAAACTGAATTATAGATACCTCTGTTGCTTCGGTTAGTCAGAATGATGCTTTCTTCAATAAAAAATTCTGACCAGTCACAATGTAAATGCTGTTGTTGACATCTTGAACGTTAATCCAAGATAGCCAGATTTGACAATTAAATCTTAAAACAGCCTGAAATGGGAACTTGTAGACTGCATTAAGGAGGGCCATCATGTCTGTGGCATCATGGAATGACCACACTGGAAAGTCCACTGTGCTTGTGGCTTCAGATATGGTTGGGAAGATGTAGCATGTATGGACACAACTGCTTCACTGGATCAAGAAAGAGCTTCAGTACTAAAAAATAAAAGCTATTTATTTCAGAAGACAGGGCTTCTACCATCACTCTACAAAGAAATGTAGTAATGCCACAAATGAACAGCGGCGTGCACGGACGCAGCGGCCCCATCAGTAGCCAGCGAGAGTGAATGTTTAGTGTCTTGCCTATCCCAGACGTCCATTCTGCAAAACTTCAATGATCCTGAGGAAACACTCTCTCATCTTGCCTGTACAGCAAAATGGCAATAAATCTGATTTGATTTTGATATCAGTGCCGTGTGCAAACAGAGAAGTTACAAAGAGTTCAAACAAAATGACACAGAGCATATAAGGAATCTACTGTTTATTTTGAACTGTAAATGTACCACAGTAAACTTTACGACAGTGTTCTTATCTATGCTGATTTATCTCCTCTTCGACATAAAACATTTGCAACCAAGCGATTGTTCTACATGTGTGAAACATGCAAAGACGAGACAACTGGTGTCAAACGAAATAACTCACTGGCAGAAACGCAGGCCGTCTGTTTGACACACGATAAACTAGCAGGTCTACGAGCAATTCTAACCCTCTGGTGTCATTGATTTCCATCCGTTAGTAAAATCAGATTAGGCGACGATCAATAAAGGTTTGACTTTCAAATGACATTCTTTGTTCTGTCTCCATGCTGTTCCCTCATGCAGAAACCCCCGTTCTTCGTTCATAGCATGCACACTGAAAGACTGAAAGGTTTGAACAGCGAAGAAAGAAGTACAAACTATGAGTCAAATATGTCAGTTAAGGGAAATGAGGCGAGGGCTCAGTATCTGTATAGAGACAATTGGCACACTGGTGGTTAGTGTCACTAAGAAGAAGCGCACCAAGGCACAACTTTGGTTTTTATCGTAAATGCATCATACAGAAAACACCATTTTTCCACTGACTAACACTGATTACATCTAAACCCCAAACTTCTTGCTACTTTTGCAGACGGTTACTCCCCAGATGACCATGATTCACCCTCAACTTCAGACTCCTCAGAATGGACAAACTCCCCCTCAGCAATATTTCTACACAACACCTGCTTCATTTCTGTATGCCCCTGTTCTTTCTTAGCAGTCGGGGCTTTAGCTGAGTCAATATCCACCCTGGAGTTTCCGTTCACCACATTCTGGTTTTCTGAATGCCCCCAAACTAGGCTGTCAGCAAATCCTACGTTCTGGTTGGTGTGCTCTGCTGCTTCATTAAAGGGATCCTCCGGTTGGTAGGTGGCAGCGCTCCCCAAGGAGGACACCCAGAAGTCGCTCTTTACGCCGGAGGAAACAAAACCACGGAGGCTGCTGTCTGTTGCATCTTTTACCCCAAAGATATCGTGTTCACCCGGTGTTCTGTCAGGGGACATCTCAAAGGGCTCTACTTGATGCGTCACAGCACCTTTATCAGCTGCTTCGGGCACATTATCACATTTTTCATCCTGCTCGTTCTGATCTCTGATTTCAAAGTCCTCTCTTGGGTTCTCTAGGACTTCCCATTCAGCTGCTTCTGGAGCTGCTGGAAACTCCAAACAATCTGCAACGTCCTCAACTCGATGCTTCTGAGAATCGTGAGATGCTTCCACAGGTATTTCTTCTTTCGTATCAGCGGGTACAGTCACATCATTCCCCTCCTTTTGATCTGCTGTCACCAGTAACACAGAGTTCGGATCCTCTGAGTTGCTGATTTGTTCCATATCAGGCCTGTTATCAAAATCACCCAAACCAGTGTGATCTTCTGTTCCATCAGCATGCGTCACCATGGACACATTGTGTTCATCCTCTTTCTCTCTGTTCTCTGGTGCATCTGGAGCTTCTGTATCTTCATGGTAGATGTTCTCCTCAGTTGCAGTGTCTGTTCGAGACATTACCACTGATGGATCACTGATAAATAGGTTCTCAGAAGTCTGATCTGTAATTGTTATAAGTTCATGATTTACTCTCATTCCAGTCTCTACACAGTAAGACATGTCCTCTGTTTTTGTTTTTCCAGCCTCTTCTTCCTCTGTCATTTCCTCGACAGCCTTCCCCTCCAGGTTCGCCGTCTCCTCGCTGACCTGATGCTGTGCAAAGTGAACGCTGTAGCTGTCTGTGGACAGATTCTCTAATTCCTGCTCCACAAGTCTGTCTATCTCCAGCTCCTCGTCATAGTCTACATTTTCGCGTACCGTGGGTTTGGGGAGTTCTTCAGTTTCTTCATCTGAATGTCCCTCACTGACTTTGCTGATCATTTCTTCTGCGTTTTCTACGTCATCGTCATGCTTACTTACAGTTGTACCATCTCTGTCTTCAATATGAGTGTATCCCATATTATATTCCTCATCCATTGTCCCCCCTTCGACCTCCTCGCACAGATCCTCCATAGTTCCAAACCTCTTCGCCTTTTCCTCACTCCACATCCCAGTCCCTGTCTCTCCGACCTTTCTTTCCTGTTCACCTTCACTGGATTCGCTCTCATCCATGTGCGATGCCTGAGTGTTCGCGTCAGTCTCGTCGCTTTTGTATCGAATCAGAGGACGAGTGTCTGCGAGAGTGTTATCCTGAGCGTAGCTGTCACTCTCCAGCTCAGTCCTCCATGACACGGAGACATTTTGAGAGTCCTCCTCATCGTCTTCTTCACTATCCACAGGCGGCTCATGCTTTTGCTCCGGCTCAATGCGCTGTCCATCATCCACTTGTGTATCCATCAGTGAAGAGGCCACATTGTCATCTTTCTCGACATCCCCAACAAAATCCTGCCGAGTTTCTCTCTTCTTATGCTCCGGTTCTTTTGCTGATATGTCTTCCTCTGGTTCAGCGTGCTGCATTTTTCCTTCATCATTTTTAATGCCATCATCTGTCTTCAGAACAACCCTCTTTTCTATTACGCTATCCCAAGTATCCATCTCTTCTCCATCGGGGTACAACTTGTCCTCAACATCTGTTTCATTTGCGCCCACCGTGGAACAACCCACTTCTTGTCTCATCTCAACTGCATCCTCATTTGAAATGTTTCCATCATGGGTGTAATCTGTCGGTTGGTTGAAGACGCTTTCCTCAAGCTCGCATTCGGAATCTGGACTGCTCGGCCTGGATTCAAACGTTGGTTCAAGCATGGCCTCAGTTTCGGAATCTGAAGTCTCCTCTTGCACGTGCTCTACCTCTTTATCTACGCACTCTGTCTTTACCCATGCCTCAACTGGAGCATGTGGCTGTTGCATATCTTCTTCCGTCCCATCGAAAGCCACTTCCTTATCAGAGTCATCGGAGAAACCGCAGGACTCCTCCGTCATTCTGACATGGTACGGCGTTAGGCTGGGTGTCGTGAACTGATGCTGACCAGCTTCATCACTCATGGACGGCTCACTGCTGAGGCCAGACTCAACCTGAGAACTGACAACCGACTCAACAACTGGTCTTTCGTCAAGAGGTTCGGCATCAACACTTTCTTTGTCCTCCGATGTTGTTGCAACAACGTCCTCCTGCTCATTGGGAGGTGACAAGGGCTCAGCATAGGTGACCTTCTCATGAACCTCCTGTGGTCTGAAATTTTCAATCGCGCCATCTTGGAGGATTTTTGGATAAGGGCTTTCCCATGTTGCTGATTTTGCTGCATCAGAATGAGCAGGTTTCTCTGAAGTCTTCAGCGTTTCTGTTAAAGTCATGGGTTTTCTACTCCATGTCGGTGTTGCAGTTATCACTGTGGGTCCTGCTTTGACGTGGGCAGATGCGAGGGAAGCGGTCTTGTGGCTAGCAGGCAGCTGGGTCTGGTAATTCTTTTTAACCCCCTGAGGACTGAAAACTGCATCTGTGGAGGATGACAGCAGAGCTCATGAATACACAATGAACTCAGCGACTGTAAGAAAGACTTGTGCGTACATCTCTTGAACACACAGTTTAAATGAAACCAGCTGTACTGTATTCTTTATGATATTCTGTAAAAGATTTTCTGCACTCCAAGGTATTTAATATGCCGACACAAGTGTGTGGGGATAGACTGGGAGAGTCTGCCTCACCAAAGCATTATTAAAACGTATGTTCTCAATGGAGTTTGGACACTAATGGTGATTTATTGATCGTCATTTCCTTTCACTGCTGTCTATGTTACCGGAAAGCCAAGCCATATGGCTCAATAACCTTTGTAGACTATCTTGGTGGCTTACATTACAGGATCCAAAGTGCCTACCTCAGCCCCTTCAGCCGAGCCCCCACCACCACTAAGACTAATGCGATTACGGACTGTATCAAACATGTCCCCCATTTTGAGGGGCTTTTACTAAGACTCAGTAAAATTATACCTTTACAGCGACATGAAGTAGTAGAGAGTGGACATAGTTGGATTTATGTGATCTATTGTGGTTCCCTACGAGGCAGCAGTAAAGCCACTGGCATGATGCTGATGTATGAATACCGTTTATTTTAATTACCTGTGATTGAAATGTGTCTTGGCTGATTCAACAGTGAGACGTCTCCCTTGAGGCTTTCATTATCCAGCAGAGCTCTATGGAGACAGACAGCAAGAGAAGATTACATTCTGAAGTTGTTCAACTTCTGCACACAGGGATGTCAGGATGTTTTGCATTTGGAGGAGCCGTGTAGGGCTGAATCCTGACGGGATGCTGCATTCAGAGGTGTGGATGTGAAGCAAAGGGAGACTTTGGCTGCTGTTGAGCAGCAGGAGCAGACCGAGGTCTGTTGTTATGGTAATGAAGGAAAGGCCCTACTATTGAGGAACCATCTGCAGCACACAAACCTCTGCCATCTATTCCTCACACACACACACACAGACTGAGTGGACACTGTTGAACACACACATATAATGACAGCTGATATTACAAGCAGCCCATGCAGCACTAATACCACTGTCTCCATTCACACATGTGGACCACAGCAGTCTCCATTCCAGCACAGGCTCTTATAATTAGCTGCATGTCTAACAACAACTGAAAGTGTTGTCTGCATTTCTTTACAAGCTCCAGCTTGACTGAAGTAATAGCACAATACATCTTGGTGTAACAGTTTTACATGTGGTGGATGACATTGAAACCTGTCCTCTAGTCTGGTCCTCCCCCCACCTGCTCCCCTGTGCTGTTATTCTAGACTCCCATCGCTCATAAATCGGTATCTTCTCACTGAAGGGTGAGGGTCAATATTTTGAGGAGGGGGGAAGAAGGAGAAATGAGACACCCCTATAGAGCTTTATAATGGATAAGTTACTCCGTCCAAGACAACAGAGGCTGCAGTTTCAGCAACGCGACCTTTAGTCCAGACGGCTGCGGACAACTCTTTGTCGGCTTCTCTCACTCATGGAAGGCCCCGTTACTGAACAGCAGCTTCTCAATGAGTTAAATTAATCATCTAAATCACGCTTGGCATAACAATGACGATAGCTCAGCTAGCTGCAGGTGGAGTTTCATCCAGCTTTTGACTCCAAAAATGTGAATGAAGACCAGTTGCTATTGGGGCTGCAACGAAAGATCATTTTCATGATTAGTTGAGCTGCTTTTTTATTTTTTCAATTTGTTGATTTAGTCCACAAGATGTATTAAATTAGCTAAATGAGCTGATAATAAGTGTAGGGACCTGTCATAAAATGTTTTGTTTTGTTTGACCAACAGTCAAAAACATGATAATCAGTTTACTACGAACAGATCATTTTAGATTCATTCGGCTCAGAAACATGTTCCTCTGCTGCCGAGTTCAAACTCATCTCATAAGTTGTGAAACAGTAAAACTAGCTGAGTGAAGTTAACCTAATTTGAGACGAGTTCAATAGACACCAGATATTGAGTTGAATCAGCTGCTGATATACTGTAGACAGTGATCTCAGACAGGCTTGTTTCCCTTTTATATTTTCCGAGTTCAAAGAGTTTCTTCTTCCTTTAGCTCTGAGAACGTGCAGCCGCAACTGTTGAAGCCATTTTGGAGTCAGAACAACCTACAAGTAGCACAACTGCCCACCGTTTTAGGTCAAAATGCTTTAAAACTTGCACTTTTAGTTTGACTTTTTAAAATTTGAATTTGAATTTAAGTGGCGTGAAAATAAAAGTTTGACATTTTAAGTTGAATTAATTACATATTAGGAAAACGTATTTACATCAAATATATTATAAATGATAAGTAGATTTCAATAAATTCCTTAATGCTGTTTTACAGTGCACAAGACAGGAAGGCCTGTCAATAGTGTTCTGGGTTGCGAAAGTGAGAAGTTATTATAGTGAGTCTTGTGTTATCGGTGTGCTGACACATGGTAGAGTGTTGATGTCATAGCAGCAAACAGTGGTATAGAAAAGCGGAAACCCTTTTTTTTTTTTTTTTTTTTTACATATTATAGAGCGTTCACATTTAGGTTGAGTAAAAAAAAAAAAGGAACTACAGTTTTGAGCTGAGCTGTAAGGATTCCCACGTGTCCATCAATGTACATGAGTCAACGATTTCTATTATCGAAACCTCATTTAGGAAACGTGAGATATTCAGTTCCTAGCGTGAGTTGGCTTTTTAACAAGAATCAAGAATGTGTGAAGCTGCACATTGGAATCAACATTCAATGCCTCCCACTTGTCTGATATCAAAAGTTCCTTAGATCCCCCCTGCCCGACTGGGGTTGAATGCTTTCACATCACCGTGTAAAGGTAAAGTTACTAATTCATCAGAGCAACATGACTGACACCCTGTGAAAGCTGCCCCATCACGAAAAGTCAAAGCAGAGGCTGACTTGTAGAATGACTCTTATCTTGATCAGTCTGCTGTTTTATTTTAAATGACATCATCGAAACAGGAGTCATATCATGAAGAGTTTTTTTATATATCTATTGGTCATGGTATCGTTGATGGTGATGGTGGGAGAACAGAATGCATGTTAGTAGACCGTAGCTGTGTGAATAAATCAAACGGTGCACCCTGTGTATCCACGTCCTTTGGGATGTGTTGGAAGAACTGTGTAAAGAGGAAAATGCTTTTTACTGTAAATGGATAGAATATACATTTACACCTGTGAGGCCATATTCTCACCTGATTTTTAAAGCCAGTACAGTATATTGGAACACAGTCAAGTAATGGTACAAAAAGTGAAGAATCTGTGTTCAAAATAATCTAAACTTTTATTGCAAAATCTCATATAACCTCACACTGAAATAGCCCCTAACAATCATGATACTGTTTCGTGGCGTTTCTGTTGCTACTGAAACAGGAAAAAAAAAAGAAAGAAATTTTGGCCTTGTTATGACAGTTTAACTCTGAAATGACGCTGCATGTGTGTGAAAGGCTCTGCACTTTTTCACATCGTTACTTCTTTAGCTGCCTGTAAAACCTTGAAACTGAGAATTTTTACAGCTCAGTGAATGAATGAACCAGATGACTCCTTTATTCTTCTTTTTTTTTTTTTTTGCATCATAGCAAATATCCTTGTTTATTATGGGAAATACATATAGTCTGCCACACAATGTATGCTTGAAGAGGCTCCACCATTGCACAGGATAATCAGGTGTATAAAAAATATATATATATATGAAGTGTGCTTTAAAAAATGACATTTGTTTGACGTGAAAGAGCAGCTGTCAGTGACGCGTACCTGTACGTCGCCACCTCCAGGCCCAGAGACATCTGCAGCTGCAGCAGGCCTCGGTTCTCCTTGAGGATGTGGTCGGTCTGCTGGCCCATCTCTTCTTTCTCCGCCTCCAGACCGTCCAAGTGCTCCTGCCAAAATGGAAGTAGAACAGGAAAGGGAAGCAGTTAAAAAGGCATGAAAAAAACAAAACAAAACAAACCCAATGGTGTCGTCTATAAGCAAAAATAAACACCCATTGTTTTACTGTTTGTCACACAGTGCGGCCTGTTCAACTTCTGTAAAGAGAGGGACCATTTTTCTTGTTGCTGCGCTGACCTAAAAGTTATAACACGGACACAAGTCCAGGTTCCACTAGTTTGTTATTAGACTTGCAAATGTCGGCGGACTTTGTTGTTAGTCGTCCAGGACCACAGTGGGTGAAAGCAGCATCGCCGTGAAAAGTGCTTAGTTTGGGTTCTTCACCCCTCAGACCTCACTGTGACCCAGAACTAATCCCAACAGCCCCAGCCTATAACTGTGTAGCCCCCCCCCGTCCCTTTCTTATCCAAATGTTTTCAGTCCATCAGAATATTAAATGAGCGTACTAAGAGAGCAAAGCCCTTTGGGGAGGAACTCACGGCTGCTCCCTAAAGAATTCACCGGGGCATCTGGCATTTCACTAAACGCTTTGAATATATGCCATAAAAACGAGATGACAAAAAAAATCTCATCAAATCCAAAAGTTAATGTAAGATATTGCGATGCATTAAGAATTTGATCCGTTCAGACGTGACCAGTCATATGCATCGACCTGCAATAGCAGACGTGTCTGAGCTCCATTTTGCGACAGATGATTATCAAGTGTCCACATTCCCCTGTGGTTTGTCACTTCATTATTTTAGACTGAGCTTGTTTGTGCCATGTGAAGCGTTGACAAAGACATCAACCAACCGCAGTGACTCGCTGCACATTTCATGAGCTTGTGACCTTGGGGGTGATTGTTTCACACAAGTCCAGCTTCCCAGTTTGCTGAATTCTTTGTCACAGCTTAACAAAAATAAAAAATAAAAAAGCAGTAGTTTAAATGGAAGGACTTTGTCAGTGAGCAGAAAATCCACACGTTGTCTCCTCTAAAATAGGACACAGATAAACTGGCACTTTGCTGACATACAGTATATGTGTAAATATGAATTAAATTACTTGTTTGACCAGTTTACTTTGTCTTTAATGAATCCAGACATACAAAATCCCATGTGAGCTGGTTCATTCTACCCTTACATGCCTCTAAACTAAAATATTTCGATGCCAACACCACAGCTAAACATTATGTACCATTAAAACTGGGCATATCGAGCTGTTGGGTACACAGCTGCACGATCAGCTGAAACATATTTCCCCTGCTTGCACTAAATTGCAAGGTTGGCAATGACAGACCAGCTCCCACAACGTTCAGCTGAGATGGAGCTCAGTGCAACGTTCCTGTGCAATAGAACACACTTAATGGAACACACACACATGATAAAAGCTTTAAATGCCATTACAGAAAGATATAGTACCATAGTCTAAATTGAAAGTACTTGTTTGCTCAAAGCTTCCTATGAGATTGTTTACAGTTTCATTGGATACTGACTGGTACATTCCAGCAGCTATGAATTATCACACTCACCTGGAGCTGCTGGATCTCCTGGCTGTATCTGTCTCTCTGCTGGGCTGCAGTCTTCTCCAGATGCAGCCTGACATCCTGAGCCGAGGTCCTCTCCTTCTCCAGGGCTTGGAGCTTCAACTGGCTCTCGCGCTTCTCTTGGCCCGCTTGGGTCAAACGGCTCCTGGTCTGGTTAAGCGACTCCTCGAGCCGAGCTAACTGGCCCTCATAGGCCTCTGCCGCCTCCTGCCATGCCCTGCTGGCCCTCTGGGAGTACTCGTGCTCCAGCTGGAGGAGATTTGGTGTCTGGTTGCATCTCTGAACCGCTGTGTGAGGCATCGTGGCTCTGGAACGGCTCAGCGTGGCCTCCAAGTGGGCCACATCCTCGTGATGGGTTTGAACTAGGAGCCTCATCTCCTGCTCCAGCTGACTGACCTTCTCCCTCAGCCAGATCTGTGCCCTTTGTTCCTCCTCCAGCTCCTTCCTGCTCTGCTCCAACTTCGTCTTGGCCTTCATGTGGGCCTGAGCCTCCCTCTGCCTCAGCATGTCCAGGGCTTGAAGCTCCTCAGCCAGCTTGCCAACTTCCAGCTCTGTGAGGACCCTGTCCCTCCAGGCCGCTTCCACTTCCAATCTTGTTTGCCGCAGCTTTTCCTCCAGGCCCTTCCTGTGTGGCGAGACTCCGTGACTGTTATGCCTCATAGCTTGGATCTCCTTTGCGAGCAGCGCGTTCTCCTCCTCCAGGAGTTTGACCCGACTCAGGTAGGTCTCCAGGCGTCGATTCAGGTTCAGCATCTGATGCTTCTCCTCACCCAGGTGGTTGGAGTGGAAGATTTTATGCACACTGTGGAACTCCATGTCAGAAAACAGAGAGATACGGCAAAGCGAGGCCTCACTCGGAGATACACTGATTAGGATTTGGCAGCCAACTGTATCTCTGTGTCCAGGCCGGAGTCAGTGCGTGGGCTTTTCTTTTTGTGTGAGTGAGGCTCCTGTGAGGCTCCGGGAGTGTGACTGCCAGCGAGAGGCTTCCCTTTCATAGGAGACTTAATGAAGGGGCCGGGCACATGGACAGCAGGGGAGGAGGGATGGAGAGGGAGGAGACTGAAGTGCTGGAGAGGGAGGGGAGAGGAGATATGGAGAAGGATGGAGGGCGAGAAGAGTGGGATGAAGGACAGAATGTTGAAGGAGAGATGAGATGGAGGGGTGGAGTAGATGGGAAAGGGCAGACAGAGGCGGTGATGTAATTTCCGAGGTTAACTCTTTCATCACTGCCACGGTTTCCAGCGTAGTTTAAGCCGCCGGAAAGCTTTGTTGCATGCCCCACTTCTATCTTGTCTTGCCTTTTATACTGACAAAATAAGAAATAAGAAGTAGTCAAGTTCAACGTTTCCATATCAAGTGCAGAGTTTAGAGTCAGGAATTGTCAGCAGGAAAATCATTCTGACTAAGAAAACCAACTCACATGCCAGCTACTGACCAACAGTGTCTAAAGTTTTCTTGCTGGCAGCAAACAAAGAGGGTAGCTGTATATATCTGGTGAATGTTATATATAAATAAATGTAATATATATACATAAAATTGGATTACACTGACAATCGACTACTTGAAATGCTCAGTGCAACTGCAAGAAACTTTTCTTAACGTATTTTTAAGACAAGCAAGTTTTTGGAAACAACAGCTGCTTTAGTGCTCGAGAGGATTTCGGTCATGAACTCTGAGGTAATGTGCCAGTCTCAGAGTCTCCTGCATGTAGGAAAGTTAGTGAATCATCAAATAATGCAAAGTGGGAACCCTTTATGAGATACAAATGCCAAACACCTTGGCACACTGGCCACAGCAGACTATCTGCAGAGAAAAGTGAATCGATCGCCACAAAAAAACATTGGCAATCCTAATAAATTCCATTTTTTTAATCGCATTGTCTTGAAAAAAATATTTAAAAATGCCAGAGTAAGTTAAAACGTGGCTGCATCCGCCTCTTTTTAGCAAGTGTCTCTCAACGTTTCAGTGTCCCAGGTGATGCTTGGTGAAATATTGGTGTATGTGTAATTTACAAGTATTGGCAGTAGTTCTCCAAAACTCATATCGCTCAACCGGAGCTATTCATTAGCTTTACTGTAACTCCTAACAATAAAGTCAATAGTGAATCTTATATTAGCATTTATACAACACAGACAGATCTGCTCTAATCCTAATCTGACCAACTTCAAAATTAAACATTGACAAAATTATAGTTTATCGGGCAAATGTACATCAGCAGCAGCACCCAGGACTTTTTAAAGTTTCCTGATTCATTCATCCTTGAAAATGACAATTGACTCAGAATGCGGAACTTGGATGTTTCCTCACTGAATGCAGTTACTGTAGTTACTGTAAGCAGGTAACAAAGCAAAAGGTCGAGAGTGAGTCTCGTGTGATTTTGGTGAATAAATATCCAAACTNCATGCAGGTTTAAACATCTTTCAGTTCTGTGATACAACAGTCCATCCATCCTGACACATATCTGTTCGTCATGTAGCTTAGCTTGTGTCCAAATATTAGTTTTTTGTTTTGTAGTCACAAGTAAATGAATATTAAATTTAAAGGCAAACAGCACATTTTAAAGTGTGGAATGTCGTTCGTCAAACGAATCTTTAGGGCTGCACGGTGCCTCGGTGGTTAGCACCGTCGCCTCGCAGCAAGAGGAGTGATTACAGCAAGTACTGTAGTGGATTGGCCTGAAAGCTCTCATCCTGCCATTCATGCAATAATACAAACTGTTTGTAGTGAAACGTTGTGTTTGTCACACGAGAAATGTGTTGATAATAAAAGTTCGTTGATGAACGGTGAACTGCAGCAGACTCAGTGCATGGCTTCGAACCTTTAAAAAACAAAAAATGTCCTCATGACAACTCATCATTATTGTTTAACCCTATTCAGGACTCTCATGTTTCCATATGTAGAAGGTCTTTCAGGTTCCATTGGACCTCAAGAACGAATGTGTGCAAATCATTTGGGATTCATTCTAGACTTTTATACTTTTCCAATAAGTTGACATATTTTTGTTTCCAAATGCATGACAAATGTCCCTCTTTATGTTAAAAAAAGGTTCTTCAAAAATAAAAGCCGATACCTGTCACCTAATCCAAATGGCCTGGAGTCCAACGACCCCCAAAGTCCTGAATAGGGTTCACCAAACACCAGCTGCTACATCAAAACTGAACTAAAAGTCACTCTTCAGTTTAAAACTGGTACACTACATGCTGACTCTACACAACCCACATGTTTCATTGTCAGCAGGTGAGATTCTGTCTCGTAGATTAAACGTTTTCAAGTTTAGTTTTTTGTTTCTTTTGCATTGCAGAATCATGTCTTCATGATGCCTAACAACACAAATGACAACAGGTGGACAACACAACCACATTCTGTATTGTCTGTGATGATCCTCAGTCATCCAGGTCATGGTTGTTCTCGTAGTTTGATCGTAGCAGCTGGACTTGCTTGAGCTTCTTGAAGACGTTTCACCTCTCATCCAAGAGGCTCCATCAGTTCTGACTGAGTAGTTGGGAGTTCCAGATACCCTTAACGAACCCCATTGTACGATTAAACTATGAGAAGAACACATTCTGTATTATATATGTGAGAACAGACACATGTCCTTAAATGTGAATAATGGCTCAATTAATCAATAAATAGATGAATTAGTGAAGACATCATTAAAATAACGTTATTACCAATACATTGTCTTGAGCATTTTATTAAAGCCCAAGTGTAGCTGATAAATTCTTGTATGCTCAGTTGTGCTACATAACACATAATGTGGCTGCACTAGTGGGTTCATAAATGACTCCAACCACAAGCACAAACCACAGATATGTAAAATTAGACCACTTAGTCACTTTTTTATTTTCGTTCAAACATCAACTTCTGAAGCAACAACAATTCAAATGAAACCGAGATGAAATGATCCATTTGTGAAGCAATGAAAACCTGATGAAAGCATTTATTTATTTTTTTCATCTTGAAGAATTGCAAAGCGTCACACGGAGCAAATGCATCTGATGAGTCGAAAAATGACTTTGAGCTTCATCTTTTGCACTTTTTACAGTCTGCCAAGCAGATTGAGGGAGATTCTGCAAAGAAGGGCTGACTTACTGCAGATATTTCAACATTTGTGTTTCAGCTCTACGAGCTCAGAGGAACATGAGGAAACAGAGACGTGATAAGGATCAGGTTGACTTCATGAAGGAGCAGGAACAGCAGCAGTTCGGAACTCAAAACCACACGCTTCTCTGTAAAATATAAATATAGCTCCTTGAACACTTTCACACGTCCTTCTCAGCCTTCGGATAAAATTGATGCTGAACTTGATGCTTTTTGAAAAATGAACAGAAGAACACAAAGACTGGCTGATGGATCTTTATCTGNCTCATTAAGAAACAACATCTCTGGAGTCACTCAAAATCTCATCAGCTCTCCAACAAAACCTAATCCAGCATGGTTTGGTTTCCTGGCTTTCAAGATCACCTGGCTAAACACACAGCACACCTTAAAAACCGTGACAGTTTTTAGTCTATTTTCCAGGAAATCATAATCAGACATTCGTGTAAAAAAAACACCTCAGGACACGTTCATGTCCTCCTATCAGCTCCTCCACTCCGGCAGATGCCACGGGGCTTGTGTTTGTTATTTTATCTTATCTTTAAAAAATAAAAAAATACTGAATTCTGTGTTAAACTTGGCTGAACAAAGCAGACAAACGTGTTATAGTCACTTTGGGTTAGTGTCTGGATATTTATAGAACGTGTGAAAAGCATACTTCAATATGTGTCGGACTTGCAGTAAAACTGTGAGTGGTCATATAGGGGGAAACACACACACACACACACACACACACAACTGTGCGGGGGTTGATTTGCTTGTTCTTTCTCACACACTATACCAAGCAAACATCCAAAGTCTCAGTTACAGAATAACCCAATTTCAAAGCGTGCACATTCTTTTGTATCTTTAACAAAGTTATCTCTCAATAACACAAAAGCACGCTGTGTATTATTTGAAGTTCATATCCGTGTTGCTGCTGCTGATGCAAATTTCTGTCTCAGCCAAAAGCAGAAGTTTGTCAGAGCTGCAATTGACAGACTTAACCCAAAAGACGAAATGGCAACTTCTGCAATTATGATCCCCTGCAGTTCAGTCGCATTTCTCTGCCCGCACGTCTGAAAAAAACTCAAAAGGAATTCTGCAGCGATGGCGGAGGGAGAAGTTAGCTATGCTTCAGTTGTGTTCAAAACGAACGCACAACCCCGACAGGGAGGTAAGTTTTTAAAATATTAAAATAGTAAAACTCAGGCATCAGAAGTATCAGTGTTTAAATTCCAGCGTTTATCCTGGTGAACAGTTAAAAATGATTGTGTTGTTCGCCTTTTACTAAGTGTCATGGACAATGATGTTTAATTTCAGCTACTTTAGCAACAGTTGGTTTGTTTTAAAATATAGAACGGTTAACATCTTATCTGACAGCTCCTGTATTATATTAAAAGAGGGGTTGAAGTTGTATAAATGCAAAAAAAGTTGTTGTAATCTGCTGCTCACAGACATATTAGTTTTACACAGGATGTCAGCGGGTCCTCTTTTTGCTCAGTGTTTTTCTATTCATGCAAACCTAAATGATGGTTACTCAATGAGAACAGCTTCCTAAAACTGGTTGAAACTGTTTGTTATGTGCGTCCCCATAGAAGTCAGTCTGTCTTCTTTCCTCTGTGGTCTGACGTCAGGCAGAAATGATCTTCCTCTTGGGTTTTAGCTGATGACATGAACGCACTACGAGGGTCCAGGGACTGTGAAGCATCGTAAAGATTTAAGATGCAGAATTTTGTCAAGCAAAACATTGTAATTTTATTAAATAAGCCTCAGAAAGCCCTCTTTTTATTTAACCACGAGACACGAATTCATCTGTTTTCCTTTCAGCTCCAAAGGAAGAGGAAACTGTGTATGATGAAGTAAAAGTGGGAAATCAAACGACTGAACAACATGCTGATGCAAATGGTAAGTTGTGGGGAGGAAAACCCCCCCAAAAAACTACAATAGAACACGTAGTCATGCTGTGAGGACTGCTACAGCTGCCGTTATACGTGAGCATTAAAGGTGGACTCTTCAATTCTGGAGAAAGGTTATTTTGATCTCTTCCCCCCTTTCCTTCCAATCTGTGCTGTGCATGATCATGAAAATGCAGAGGCTAAATGTTCACGTCAGAATGACATCGTGTGGTTTGGTCCAAGGCGCTAGTACAGACAGCTAATTATCTGAATCTAAAAATGCTCCAGCTGCTACATTATAGTTACAGTTATTACAGTTGCCAACATAAATACGTCTGCTATCCGCTGGCTGAGGTACGTGTTGTCGTTACTCAGATCAGAGTGGAAGTGAACACGTTTACACGATGTTTCACCGAATCGCGCTCAGATATGCGCCTTCTGGCAGGTAAAGGCATTGTGTGTCAATATGAATGTTGTGACCTTAGCTTTGTGAAAAATAAATAAATGTGTAGCTTCTATAGAGCCTCCACATTCACACACACAACATCCTGATATGTTGTGTGTGTGTGAATAACAGGAAGAAATTCAGAAAGCAGCAGGAAATGCAAATAATTAAACAAAGTAAATTCTTCTATGGGCTGCAAGGTGTAGCGGTGCGTGAAGGTCGCCGGTTCACGTCCCGGTGAGGACACCCGGGATCTTTCTGNACCCCTTACAGGCTTACAAGAGGAATGATTACAGCAAGCACAGTCTTTTCCTGTGTTTAGATGAGAATGTGACGACTGATAAAAAGTGGATTTGTAACATGCATTGACAATATGAAATACTTTGGTGTTTTGTTGTAAAAGGAAATTTGCCTTGAAAAATGTGTCGAAGCTGCACCTTCACCTGTCTCTCATTGTAGTTACTGCAGTTATTTCTGAAAACAACACCAGGCTGAATGCAGAAAACTGGAACCTCACAATGCAAAACCAGGAGCTGGAGAAGGACAAGAATAACCTAACAGAACAAATACAGAACATGGAGACGAGCTGGAATGAGCTCAACACCAGTCGAGCTCAGTGGACCATTGATGCCTACTGCCCAGAAAACAGAGGAAGTATGTTCACATCCCAGTAGCTACAAATATACGAATAATAATGATAGCATTGTGCACTAATGTAATTTATTTATTGGTCTCTATTGTTGCAGAACGACAGTGTGAACTCTGTCAGGATGGCTGGCTTGAGTTCAAATTCAACTGCTATACAAGTCCTTACGCTATCGCCTATGATGAGCTGAGAACCTGGGAAGAAGCTCAAGAAGACTGCAGAAGAATGAATTCACATTTGGCTGTTGTTGTTACTGAAGCACAAAAGGTAATGAAGAGAGTTTGACTTTTATTTCTAAAAGTATTCTTTGTAGACCTGAACACAGCCTGAGTCTGTTAGTTACAGTGTGTTTAGAGTAAAACATTTCAGCATCTCTGATAACTTTGTCCACGTTTTTCTTAGAACGTTGTCACTAGATATAGGTGGCCCAAAGGAACCTTTAATCAATACTGGATTGGCCTGAGAGCTGAAAACAAGAAATGGAAGTGGGTTGATGGAACTGATCTGACTGAAAGGTAACAGACTCATTCCAGTCATTTAAATGACAAAATCCATCACTGTCAATCTAACCAATTCTTTCCTTCAGCTCCTGGATTCAACAACCTCCTCCTTACAGTCGTTGCGCAGTTTCTGTCAGTGATGGAGGATGGAAGGCAGTGAGCTGTAATGAGAAGAACCGATGGATCTGCCAGAAGAAAGCTTTGTCTGTTTAAGTAAGCCGTCAGCTGGGTCATGATTATCAAAACCATGAAGACTTCTATGTCACATTAATCAAGTCTCTTGTTTCATTTGATATCAAAATGTAGGAGTGTGTGTGTGAAAACCTGGTAGTTTGATCATGTGGGTGTTGTCAGTCTGCTCCACTGAGAAAAATACAGTAGCTTACCTATCAGGGCAAATGTTGTTCATCTGTAACTTTACATTATCATTTTATTTGCACTGCAATAGATGCACGCACAAGTTTTATATCAGCAGACTGATAAAAGGAACCAGCAAAACTCTTCAGCTTCTTGTTTCATGTAGCATTTTCCATTGCTGCTGCTGTTTGGCCAACAGAGGGCGCTGCTTTACTTCTACACAGCATATTCTCAGGGCTTCTGTATTATTCATGTATTATGTTGAGAATATGTTCAAGAGGAGCTGGCAGCTAATGTTATATATCTATCTGGAAGTGAACTTTGGGGTATTTTCAGTTGAAATGTTTCCACATGACTTTTTCTTGCAAACTGCTGGTTGAAAATGTCAGTAAGTTTGAATGAAATGAGGAGAACCTGCAGGATTCTGTGACGTGTTCAATGAAGACGAGGCGTCAGGAGAGCTGACCTCAGTGTGTTTGTTCCATTTGAGCCTTTTGATTCAGTCTCAGTGTCAGCATCAGCACCAACAGAGCTCCAGAGGAGAACAGGATGTAACGTAATGTGTGATTTCCAAAGAGGAACAATGTTGGTCAGATGTGGCTTCAGTCTCCTTCAGTGGTGTGATATGAAGTACTAAGTGAGATGAAGTTCTCCTACAGAAAGAAGGTTCTGGTTCTGAATGTGACTGAGGCCTTTGTGTGTAGTTCAGGTGAATGTGTTTGTGTTTTTCCTTCCCTGAGTAAAACTGAAGATCTTTTCCTGCCATTCATGCAATAATACAAATAGTTTGTAGTGAAACGTTGTGTTTGTCATACGGGAAATGTGTTGATGATAAAAGTTAGTTGATGAAAGGTGAACTGCAGCAGACTCAGTGCATGGCTTCAAACATTAAATAAACAACAAAAAGTCCTCATGACATCTCATCATGATTATTTAACCCTGCAAAGAAGGACTGACTTACTGCAGATATTTCAGCATTTGCATTTCAACTCTAGAAACTGATTGTGTTTGATCTAATTTCTTTTTCTACAGTCATCAAAACTATGAAGAGACGTGATAACGATCAGGTTGATTCAGGATCAACAATTTCCCTGAGGTACCCCACCAAAGGGCTCAATAAAGTTCTATCTAATCTAATCTAATGTAGGTTGACTTCATGAAGGAGCAGGAACAGCAGCAGTTCGGAACTCAAAACCACACGCTTCTCTGTAAAATATAAATATAGCTCCTTGAACACTTTCACACTTCCTTCTCAGCCTTCGGATAAAATTGATGCTGAACTTGATGCTTTTTGAAAGATGAACAGAAGAACACAAAGACTGGCTGATGGATCTTTATCTGTGGGTAAGAAACTTTATAATACTCTGAAACTGAATGAAGTTCTGATGGCTGCCAAGAATTACTTTTACAGTTTTGAAATTAATTATAAAAGGTTTAAAGTACTGAATGTAGATCTGCAGACTAGAGATGAAACTGTTGTTTGAAATAATTGAAAAGTAATTTAGTATTGAATTGATTAATTGTTTCAAGATGAAGGTAAAATGCCAAATATGTGCCAGTTGAAGCTCCTCAATGGTGCTGATGCATTTACTGAATATATAAATACGTACAGCACATACAGCATATATGATTTATCTGATTGGAAACAGAATGTATTTGGGTTTTGAATCAAACACGACTTTTACAGATTCTGTGCTCAAGAAAACAGTCAGACTTTTTTTTTCTTTCTTTGAGATAAAACAACAAACTGATTATTGAAAGTAATAGAAGACAGATTTATTTGAGTAAATGAAATAAATATGTGCACCTCGACAAAAAAAATCCCCAAACAAACCATTTAATTTAGACAGAAAATCTGTGTTTAATCTATTATGTCCATCTGTACAACAAAACCCATTGAACTGAGACATAACATTTATGTTTAATCTGAATATCATTAAGAGGAAGTCAAGGGAGACGATGACTATGTTAATGCAGCAGTTTGCTCTGTGGAGCAAAAGGAAACCATTCCAGGTGAACAATGCATGTCAGAAATATAATGTGACTGTTCAGCAAACCGTTCTTTTTCTTCATACAGACATACACAAAGATTTGTTGACCATCTTAAATGTTGAAGTTAAGCTGAGTTCCTCATTCTTCCTTCAGATCACAAGTGTCCCTCCTTTACTCGGCGTTTTGCTCCACTGGCAGTGTGTTGGCTGACGCTGTTGGTCATCATGGGCCTTCGTATCTACTGTGAGTTTCTTTTGATGAATATCAGTTCCAATAGATTTGTTTTTCCCTCAGCAGGTAGTTGTTAGCCCATTTGTGTTTCATGAGATCCCCTCCAAAGACAATCAAGGTTTTTACATCGTTTAGACGCACGATGACGACCAATAAGGAGCCAGTTCCTTCTTTCAGAAGGAAACTTTTGCAGCACTTTAAGCTTTAAACATTTCCCATAAAACATACAATATACATTGTGTTT